AGAACTGGACGCGCGATTGGCAAGAGCCACAATTCGTCCTGGGAGAACTGAACTGAAATGTGTTTGCTATCGAGATGCGCATATGCCTGCGCTGCAATCAGATACAGCACTCTACCCTCTTCTCTTTTACGTTTTTCACCGACAACACAATAATCTGTACAGTCGACTGGCAGGGGCCATTATTCGTCCTGTGAAGACTGAACTGGAACATTGAAACCACCTTTCTGTTACGAGCGGGTAGCGCGTTCGCCATATTGGCAGCGAACACTATTTATTTTTCAAAATTGGACAATAACCAAGACTGGGGACCATTTGGTCTAGGTCAAGAACCCGTGGAATACTTCCACAGTTCAAAAAGTGTTTGTCTTCTTCCATTTTTCTGAACTCTCATTAGCGCGCTTTTTTAATTACTCGGAGAAATGGAATTTTTACATAAGCTCGACGAGCTACCAACTGTAAAGGATGCCATGCGACTGCCATATGACCAGTATTTCAAGCACGCTCAAGGAATTCTTGAATTCAAAGATTATTGTCAGATGGGACTCACAGAAAGCCTGGCCAAGGTTCATGATTGGTGTGTACATTTGAAATGTTTATCACCAGATGATCCGTGTGTTCCCATGGCAAGGGCCGATGAGTTGCATGATTCTATGAACATTTCAAGGTAATGCAGTATTCAAATTTAATCTTAGTTCCTAAAACAATTTTATAAAGGGTACATGCATCTGCATGCACATGTGCGTAACGTTTTAAGAATGTTATTTTGGTACTATGGTATCATCGTAAGTGATTATCATTATGAACTGACAAAAGTTTACGGGATACGCACGCTTGGAAAGTGGCAATAATCGGGAATTCCCGATTACTACCGGTTTAAACCGGTAGTGCGCTTCCATGGAAATTTCGTGTAGCCATTGACACACTACTTATTATGAAACATATTTACAGCATCTGAAAGGTTTAAGCGTATAACTTTGTTGCTTAGAAGCTCATAACCACTATAGTAATTGACTAATACAGTAGTTAATCAAAGAAAAAAGATCAGGTTCCGATCCAAACCATTCTTTTCGAAAAGAATGTGCGAAATAAGAGGTTGCCCGTTTCATTTCCAATAGTTAAGGTGCTGCTATATTCAGAGGCAATAGTAGAGCATCACCTGATCATACCACAATCTTTTTAATAGGACGCTCAGGGGGACAGTCAGGTAGAAATCACTGGTAGAATCTTGTTGCTTGGGTATTTGTACACAACAAACATTAATACTGATTTCTAATAATGAGGCGAATAACTTCACAGCACATTATTTTTGCCTCCTTATTGAATCAAACTTTCAGAATGTAAATTACAACCAGAGGGTTTAAAAGAAGCTTGAATAATAGGCGGCAGTGTTTGGGATTCGAACATAACATCTAGGATGATGACCTGGTGAACATAAGCTCAACAACATTGCTTGAGGTGGAAGCTTTGCGCAAATCATCGGTCATGAGTGTATTTCCTGAACACCAATTAACGATAACGGATAGCAACCGAGATAAAATCTAAGTGAAATGGCAATGGTGGTTTCAGACTAAACGATCATGGAAAAAAGATTTGTGTATGATAAGCAAAATGATAATTGAATGCAAAAGTTCCGTTCAACAACCGGTTGCAATACCTACCATATCCAAAGAGGTTCCCATAAAATTTACCCCAACCAAGGTCTTCTCGCCTTGAGTGAAGTCTAAGATTCTAAGATAATGACTTCCCCCTGACTTATAAATTCATCATCGTAAGCAAGATACAGTAAAGCGAACTTAACTGACTGCTGCCAAGCTCACAAAGTACAAAAATCAAATGATAAATCACAAGATGAAGAGGTATTGGGCCTGATTGGAGGGAGACAAAGAAATTGAACCTCTATGATCAACACACAGAGTACACAATAAAACTATGCACACATACCCTTTCAAGTATTCCGACCTGATAAGAAATGACAACAAGAACGCCACTGATGTCTGTGCTTTGTCATAGCCTTCAGTGTCTCCAACCAACCAGTTGTGGAGTCTTTCGGACCCCAGCCTGAAAGACGGCAGATATCTATTCTACCTAATAGCCCTATGTATTTCCTCTTGCATCATTTCTAACTCATCTGTTGACCTTCACTTGGTTTATATCAACCTGGAGCCGAAGTTCAGTTTTGGCTGGGTATGCACAATACGTCTCTTGACCAGAGAATCCGATTAATCTGAATTGGATGGGACAACGAATTCACTATCGAGTCATTACCAAATACGTGACGCCTTACCTTTATTTCAATTTATGAAGGTCTCCCTAGAAGGTCGAAACGTTTTTACTGAGATGTTCTGTTGTGATACTTTGGCCGTGACTATTTCAAACAATATCTTGTTATTGAACTACAATCGTTTATTTTACATTTTTCCCAAAATATGTAGCGTACAAAAACTAAGAGCGAACTTTCGAAATACAGAGATTTAATTATGAAAACGATCTTAAGTAATATTGAGTAATAAAAATATTCCATTTCACAAATAACTATTATAAATGACTCTTTTTACAGTTCTGACATTACAACCCTACAGTCTGTCGGCTTGAGCACGACCGCGTCCACAGTCGGAGCAAACTACAGTGAACAAACCGGAAACATGTCCGTATTTGAGTTTATGAGGTTGTTCGGATACAACCATTCGAAGTGTTACGATGATTATCTGTGCGATCATGCTGGAGTGAGCATGCCAAACCACTGCGTGCTGGGATTCGGTTGTTTTCTTCTCTGTCTGTACGGCATCATAAGCAACTTGGTATTGTTGCCGGCCTATAACATTGGACTGAACCGTTCCGGGGCTACCATTTACTTGAGTGCAATGTCCATTTTTGATATAACATACATGGTGCTCACCCTGATAGTGGTGGTGGCACGATATATGCCAGCGGAATTTTCTGCTCAGATGGAAACCTATGGGGGGTTTTCCGCACGGTTTGTGCCAGTCGGATCGCCGATAATGTTATTTTGTGAATTGATTGTGGTGAGTTCTGAATTACAAATTCTACTGTTTAAATATTACTGGCTTTGGTTGGTACACATATCGTAATTGAAATAGCAAACAAATCGGATTCAGCACTCTTATGGTCAGATAAAGATGGAATATCGAATTTTTAATGTTTTTATTTATTTCGTTTTTAGACTAACTGAAAAAGATTGAAACACGTTTAATCACGTGGTTTGAGAGCATTTAGACGAGAAACAGTTCTTACCGATGATTTTTCCATACACCCATGCACGAATATATATATATATATATATGAACGAAATAAAAGCAGTCAGTTCGGTTTCGAGTACGTCAAATGTATACGGATATCAAACACTTGTTTTGTTAGGGAAAGAGAACAAACTGGATAAGAAAAGATCTCAGATGAAAAAATGAAATTAAGGCAAAAAGCTGCGGGATTATGTCAGAGTGAATAGCTTCCTACGCGGAAAAATGACAAAAATATTTCTCATTGAGTCTAAAGACAGAATATATGTAAGTAATCTGAAGAAAGGAGATACTGCAAAGCAGTCCCACAATTTCAAGCTTAAATAACAAGATTTATCCAAAGAATTTGGAACCTTACACATATTCACTGCTCCTTATGCCAAAAAGAATTTAATGTGATTGAGTTTTCCTATGTGAAGACGATGATTAGGTGTTCAATATAACATTACGCGTTTGTTAGTAAATTAATGTACCAAGCACTTTAAGTGCGCCTTAGCAGCCCATTTGGTAACATGACAAACACGCCCCAAACCGCGTAACCTATGGATTTTGGCCACTTGATATCAGTGAACGACCGCGATCACCTAAAGCCCTGTGCTGAGCCTTAGTAGTGATCGTCCGGTTTCCGCCCAGTGATGATTGAAAATGACGAGATCTTAGTAACGACTCAAACCTAATTCCTAACACGGTTAGCGCTTAGCCAAACGTAATTAGCTTTTATCAGAGTTTCTTAAGATTGATAACCACTCTAGATAAGGAAAATTGCAATATCACACCAGAGGATGAGAGAAAGTTTCACTATGGTCGGGGGTGGGTGTGTCGGGTTGCGGCTGGTCACCCTTCCCTTGCACCTCGCGAAATACTTCCATACGATCAAGCGTCTCAAATAACCTCTGCTGAGGAAGCCTATTCACTACCTTCTCGCGGCGGTATTTTCCCACTAAAGTGAGAAGACGAAAAGCGGACATCCGGGGCTATAACCGGGTTGGTGAACCACTGGCAGTTCACCTAGGGGAGTTGGCCAAAAACTCTGATTCCAAACCAATAACGAGGAGATGTACGAACCACAAACACAGCTTTCTGGATGTGGTAGCGGTTACCGGCTCGATTGGGCATTGAGGTGTATTGGATACCTTGGACGTTTGACCCTGTCCGATGAACTTGGCACTAGCCCCCAATGGATTGCGGTTTCGCACACCACCCCGCTGCCTTGCGGGTCAGGCTTTTGCTAGCTAAAAGCTTCGGTGATGGATTCCTCAAGCATATTCACATACCTTGACCCGGGCAACCTGGCACATTTCCGCCCACAAGCCAATCATGGAACGCTTTTCTTTGTTATAAAGATTATTGTACCATGATTTGTTTGGTATACAGTCTGAATTCAGAGGTGTGTGAAAATAATAAATAAATAATTAGTTTGCCCAATGAAAAACCTGAATAAAGTAACTAAAGCGTTTATCACCATCAGAGATTACTGGTAAACAGTTTTCCGTAATAAGATAGTGAATAAATGTGCATGGGGAGTCTATTCACCGCAACTTTTGATTTAAGTAAGTAAAAGACAGACTGTGCTGTGAAGCAATTGATTATTTTTTATAAGAGGAATCAACATGAGAAAATCTTGATTTTTCTTCCACACAACCCAACATCTAGAGCCGTATCGATTACACAAACACTTGGGAGTCGATAAACGTCAAACGATTATTTCAGCTGTATGTGTTTGGCAGCAATTAGTGAAGTCACTTCACTGTATTCTGTCGTATGACAATGATAACAAAGCTTTCCTTGATTACCCATTGTGACGATGAACCCTCACTGTAGTCGATCCCGGCAAACCGTTGCCAAACCAATTAGCAATCCATTACGGAAGTCATGATTTGAGAAACTTTCTTGACACAAAACACAGCTCTGAGAAAACTTAAAATTATGAGTGCAATTTGGAGTAAATCATTTTGGAAGTGCGGATTAACATCTGGAAAATGAGTGGTTTGGAAGGCTAAATTCAAAAATTCCATAAACTGGAAGTGCAAGAGGTTACTGCGGGTATAGTAAACTACCTACAGACGGAGTGCGAAACAAAAATGATGATGAACACTATACATTCAACGTGGGGTTTACCGAAATTAAAATGTCTACCCCAAAAGTCTTGACAGTTCGGTCGAATTCGTAAATTTATTGGTCCATTTAAGACTAATCTTACCGACATTTTAACCTCTTTTCAGGTATGGCTGACTGTCGCACTACTAGCCAACCGATTACTTTACCTGAAATTCGGATTTCAATCCAAGTGTCTCTGCTCGCAACTCCAGTCGATTAAATCTATCACTGTTCTGGTTGTGTTTGGTCTGGCATACGCATCTTGCAAGATGCTCGAATACACCTTGGTGAAAAACGAACAAATGAATGTTTCTCGTGTTGTGTTCACACCCATCGGAAACACGTCGCTATACAAGCAAGTTGATTTAAAAAATGAGATGATCAATGGACAACATGAATGGGATAAGAGATTTTCGAATAGAGTATTGATTTCCTCAGAAAATCTAAGATTAACATTATTATGTTTATTGTTCCTTATATAAACGGCTATCTGTCTCGACTTTATTTCGAGTAGAACTCAATGTCCCTATATAACATGATGGCTTGCAGGAGTGTTTTGCGCTGAAATCCTTCACTCCCTAGCACAGAACATCGGATTAACGAAAACCGGTGAAAACAATCACTGCAAAGAAATCTGACCACATGCTGAATCAAAATCAAGATCAAATTTTCACCGAAAAGAAGTGAACTGAAAACACTATAGTATTCTGATCTTATTGGTTTCACTGAAACACCAAGGTAAAGAATGAACAAACACGGTAAACGGTATTATCTCTTAATCTAAGCTGAATGGATCCCTCATTATTAACCATCAGTCAAGAATCTGGACTTTGAGTGTGTGACTGGTCAAATAGTTTAGGGCTCATAGTACTATAGAAGTGTACAGCATCCCTCACAACAGCAGCTTCATGACTGTGAATGTCAGGTCACAGTAAGCAGAATCGTGATAATACCATATCCGAAGAATAACTACGACACCGATAAGGCCGTTGTGGCAAAATTTACACGTGTGGGAATGAACTGTCTGCTGATTATTGAGTTTGAACACCAGGGAATCGGCAAAACCCACTAAGACGATCATATACCCAGTGATATTTTTATCGTCATCCATATACTACCCATTATAAAAAGTAACTTGAGTATCACCATCGATAAACAAGCCATTCAACACTGATCTCTTGAGACCGGAACTGATAACAATTTTGAACAGGAGCCAATCTACGCAACTGTAATGATTTTATTTACATGGTAACAGTAGAGGTGCAGAGATGAGTCCAGCTGGTCAAACAGCGCAAAAGTCTGAGGGGGTCTGTTTCCATGGAGATGAATTACACGTCGGAAAAGTAGAGTTGGACATGTTGCACATATTTTTTCTTGAACTCAAAGTGCTCTGACTAGAGTAAGAGTCATTGTTTACCGTAACAACTGATAGATAATTTGCCGAATCGGGCGATTGAGCGAACTTCTGATTTCGAGCTAACCGAAAATTATGGCAATATGATATTCTCTAAGGTCGTTTTGTTCACGACAACAGCTCAAATTTGAATTTACGGTATTCAACAGAATAACCCTTCCAGAATAGAGTAAAGAATTGACTTTTGTTACATATGAAATATATGCGTATCAACATATTTCTCACATTTCGTTTTCAGAAATCTGATGTATGACTGGTTGAAAGTTCCAATACAAATGTTCCTGCCGTACTTGAGTGTCGGTGTCCTGGTTTCCGTCGTAGTCACAAAAATGTTGAATTTGCATACATCCAAATGGAAAGCCGTGGCCAGTTTGTGCAACGACACTGCCTGTGCATGTGTTTGTCGAACTGGGGTGTGCGGGAACGATTGTCAAGAGGGCGTAGCAAATCCACCCAAATGGTCAGGTGGTAGTCACTCACTGGAAATTGGACCGGAAAGTGAAACTGTTGGAAAATTACCAGCGGACGTTGATACTGTTCACGAGACTCAGCCGTCGGCAAAACTGATTTCGGAACCGGCGGGGGAGGTGTTGGATCCGATTGAAGAGGAACTGGCATACCTATATTTCCAACTACCTCAAGTGGATGAGACACGAGAGCACGCAAATGTGATTACAGCGGTCTGTATAGGGCTACTGTTGATCTTGTTCAAAGTTCCGAAATTCTTTTTGCATGTTCTTTCCACGGAAAACTATATCACATACGATCCAACCATATTTGCGCTGATAGATCAGTTCCTGGACACTATTTTCGCAGCATGCAAGCCTACTGTATGCATTTTGGTCGGGGCACATTTCCGACAAGCTCTACTCGCACCACCCAGGTGTTGTTCCAACCAAAACAAATCAGCCGAACCATCCACAGCAAAACCTCCGACTCGTTCAAAATCAGGTGATCTTCAGCTCACTGAAAGACCAGGTGAAAAGCGCTACCAATCGATTTCAGTAGACGAGCGATCCGCCTGATAGAAATTTCATTAACAAAACCCATCTCCACGATAAGTCACGAAAAAAACATCGGGCGAGAAAAATTCAATTGGCCCCTTAATGGTTTTTCCACGCATTTACTCAGTTTTAAACTTTGTTGTGTCGGTCCCATAGTGTGAAGTAAAATCAGCTCTGACACACATGCACGCACGGGTTTACACCCCGATTGTAACTCCCTAATCCACTTTCTTGTTCGTTTTCTTTTCATTATCAGTTTGCTGTATCAATAACAACATTTTCTTTCTCTGATTGTATTTCCATATTCAAAGCATACCAAGATAAAACATTCAATTATAGTAATACAAATATCGTTTTAGATAATGACTATGTTCGTACTGGGATCGTACACATCAATGAGTTGTCATACTGCTGAGCAGGAAATGTTAATTCATTTCAAACTCAAAAGCATCAGTTCAATAAAATAAGCAGTCACAAACAAATACGAATAGTTGAAAGGAAAAAATGTACAAAGCGAGTGGCATCTTAAAAGTCGAAGGCTTTTCAAATTGAACCGACTGATTTGGAATGCAATTACAAAAAGAGAACTCAAAGTAAAATCGAATTATGCGGTCTTGTACACCGAAGGTTGGACTTGGTATATCCGGCTGTTTCCTTCCAATCGATCCAAGATACGACGTAACGCAGGGAACGACAGTCGACACCAATCTCCAAGCTTTGACAGTCGGATCAAACTTAGGATGGTTCTTGCGTCTGCACCGTTCCCCGCTGGATGTGAAAAGAAAAAGACAGCGATAGCAGTACTGCTTAATTCAAAACGAATCAAACGAAAATCAAGAACAACACCAATACAGATATTGTGTCCGTGAAACTGCACTGAATAAGACAAAGGCATTTTCATTCCATATAACCACGTTCCTTAGTGTTGACAATCAAGAGCGTAGCTCACAGCTAAACATTTTGGAGCCAAAGCAGAGGCCTATGATTTGAATGTGCCAAAGACTCGCAACAGTACGCCAATGATTCCCCAGAAACAGAAAACGGTTGTCCAGTTCATCATATCGGCTTCCGCGGGAACTAGACAGATGGGAAAGGGTTTTCTCCAAATGGGTGCTCAAGATTTTAGGGCACAACATACTTCGCGGCAGCCCACATTGACGAAGGGGTTTTTCTTTGGGAACCCTAAACGAAGCCTTTGACTCAAACGTCTGACCCGCAAGACAGTGGGGCGTAGATTCAACGCGGGAGCGTGGAGAAAACACCCGTGTGGGGAGCTTCTAGAGACCTGTCACGCAAGGCCTTCGGGTTCCGGTTCAGTGTGGTTGTTCGCTGGTGCGTTGATTGTTGGTCCGCCCTAGCCTCATGCACCGAAGACAAGCGGACGGGACAGCACCTGGAGGATTCCCAGCTTGGTAACTTGGTAGCTGTCCAATGAAGTGCAAAGACTTCTCCCTCTGTCGAGAGGAAGTCCCAGGTATCCCGCTCCTACGTCCATCTAGCGGTATTTTCTTTGACCGGTAAACTGCCCCTCATCGTGTTTATTTGCTGGAGTGGTCTCTCCAGGGGCGGGTGTGGATAAACGAAGGAAGTCAGGACGTGCCCTAGTAGCTGGCTTCCACGCAAATGCCTTGAAGACAACCAAGTCTCACTTGAAAGAAATGGCTGAATGATTGAACGAAAAACCATCAAAATCATGGGAAACCGCAATATATCAAATCAGGAGGTAGAAAAAATAATATTTTTTCATTTTACTCTATTCAAAAAAGGATCACTTGCAGACTGAGTACACGTAATTAATCATGTTTTAGTGTAGTTTTCGAGGCCCCCAAAA